TTTTCAAGGTGGCTTTTCACCTCAGGAAAATCCTTCTCCAGAGCTCACTTTCATTAATATGAAGAGAAGAGGGGAAAGAATTTGAAAAGTTATCTCTAGGGGGGGAAAAGCACATTATCAGTAATGACTTTTTTGCCTCCGCATCTCCAGATAAGGAAGACTGCATTTCACTGGGACTCATGTCATGGGTAATTATTGGCCTGATCCTGTTTGCCATGATTTCCTGTATCTGCTGTGCTGTAGCCTGTTGCTTAAGGAACAAGGTAAGCAAGTCTATGAGATTCTGCACAACCCTCCTTCCAAGGGTCTTGGATGGGGAACTTGATTTAATGAGATTTAGAGGGTGGGACAGGCACATACTAACTCAGTACGTGATGTGTTTTTTGACAAAGAGACTGAGTTGTTAATTTACCACTGGAATTCAGTCATTGATGACAGCAGCTCAGATTAAATTTTTCTAAGACAGAATTGTTTATTGATTTAAAGGCTGGGAATCAAAGGAAAGAGGAGAAATGCTGCACAGGTCAGCAAAATTACTTTGGTAAGCAATTCACCTGATTGTTTTCTTCATGAAGGGGAAACAAATCATCAGTGGAGCAATTCCAGCTCTGTTCTGGAGCAAAATCACTTCAACAAAGAACCAGTTGGCTCAGGAAAGAAAGGAGACCATGGACATTAGTTATTCTTTTGGACAATGTGTGTTTTTCATTTTCAGTTCGTTTTATTCCAAGTTTTCTACGTGAGTGCCTGTCTATTCTGACTTTAATATTCCCACTGAAAAGTCAGAGTAACTGCCCTACTTAAAGAACAAAGGGAGGAGTGGTGAAGGTTAGTGACCACAAATTAAATTCATGGTATTTTCTCTCTGTTTGCAGAATCAGCAGTGTGAATCCAACTCCCATGAGTACAACAGTGAATACATGCCCATGGCAGCAGTGAATGCAGCTAAAAAACCAAGAATCTGAGGTTGTATTAAGCCTAGTTGTACTCTGCTTGTATCTGTTGCAAGGCTTTCTCTGGGAGGGAAAGGGCTGCTTGCTGTGTCTCCAATTGATTCTAGGTAGGTGGGTGGGTGGGTGGGTGAGATTGTTACAATAGCTTGTTAATGGAGTTCATGCTGCCATGTAGCAGGAAGGGGAAATAAAAAGCAAAATCTCTGGAAACCTTTTGAATCAGAATGGTGGGCTGGTTCCTAGAAATGCAACTGCTTCACATCAGTGCAAAGTAATGATCTTATGCTTGAGGAAGAGATGTGAAACTGTTTCATTCCGATTCTTCAGATGAGGCGTGGTACGCAAAATCTCTCTGGGGAAGTGATTTGTTAGATTTACTGAGTGTTACTGGCTAAGGGCAAATAATCTGTAGAGAATGAGGAACTTCCTAACTGCTTAAGCCCTTGCATAGTAGCCAGAAGTAGTTTGGGATACAGAACAGAAGCAGAATTTAGACTAATTCAGATGTATGGGGGTTGCATGTAACTAATTCTCCATTCCTGTTCCAGGTATAAGTCGCTTGTGGCATGGAAATTCTGGCAGCAGTTCAACTACTTGAACCTGAACAATGGGAAATCATCATTTCCTCACCTTTCCCAGCCTCCTTGAGCTCTTGTGTGCTCAGTCACCCACTTTTAGTACTGTTCTGAGCTGTGTTTTGCTCTAGCCGTGTGTGTTAAGTGGCACACTGCCTGATCCACTGACTTGTACATGAAGTGCTAACAATATGTTAAAGATGTCAGCTTTTAGTTGAAGAAAATGTAGTGAGTTTGCTTGAGAGTAGATTCCTGTAGTGCTGCTACAGAGGGAACTTCTATTTTCTACAGTGTCCTTTATGATAAACTTTCCACTGGGGACAAAAAAAAAAAAAAAAGACTACCTCCAATGCCAATCCTTGTGGCACAGCCATGAAGCATGGTCGATGTATTGCACATGCCCTTTTGTTAGGGCTAGTTTAGCCTGATGCTATCAATTCATCCTCAGATTCACTGTCAAACTTCTTAGCACCACACTAGAAGAGTGCGGTGTGCACACATGCTCTCCTGCACCAAGCTGTGTGACAGCAGGGGAGCAAAACCTGAGAGAGCACAGCAGAGACTTCACTGTGACACAGTACCTCAAGTATGCGCATCTGCATTTTTCATATTTGTGCTATCAACCCATCTTTGCCATTCACACCTTGGGGCTCCTCTTATTTAATTAAATTCTGAATTCTTTTACTAACAGAGGAATATATTACTTTCAAGACTGCAATTGTTCTTTAAATCAGTTCAAACCTGCAGGATCAATCCCTAAACTAGGAGGCATGATCTATCCTATTCACATGTCTTGCAGCACAAATACTACACAGTCCATAAGGCCGGTGTATTCACGGACTCTGCATTGCAATTATCTTCCTCTTGTGGTTTGACATGAAACCTTTACCACTTCCCCAGTGGGTTCAGGGGTTACTTGACCTGCCTCAAATTGCTCAGAGCCTTCAGCATGAATGAAATGATCAATCCTTCATGCTCCTTGTGAAATCCATCAAAACTCTGACCATAAATGACCAACTGGGAATCCAGCCTGAATATGATGCCAGACACCATTTGGCTGCTGGAAGCAGAGCGGTGCGTTGATTCTGAGACTCTCTGTAATTCATTGAAAAAACAAATATCGGTCAGAGGACACTATTGTGAAAGATACATAGCCTGCTTGTCTGGCAAACAGACGGCTGGTTTCAAATTTGATGGGGCAAACAGGGACTGTCAGGCATGAAGAGGACATAAGCTGGTATGTCAAGAACAGGGTTTTCCTCAACAAACACCGAAATACATAGAAGTATTGCAGAGAGAAGGTGCAAATTTTTAACTGTGACATTAAGCAAAGGGGAAATGAGTGAAGTATCAAATGAAGTGGGGACTGCCAATTTCACAGTGGGTACCCTGCTTAGATAACCAGCTCCTAGGCAGAGATGTAGAGGGGCACTCTGGCGTGTTGGGTAACATTACATTCTCTCCTGTCGTTCTGACACATAAACTTTGCCAAATTACTTGATGTCCGCAGCAAACAAAACTCTCCTCTGTACATCCACAAATACACTGATTTTACCATTTTAAAAAAATATTGGTGAAATTATTGCCTTTGAAAATTATTGCCTTTGACAATTACTGCCTTTGAAAATTATTGGTGAAAATAGCTAACCTCTACTGCCTATGAGAAATGCTGGATGCAAGATCCTATATAACAGTGGAGAGTCCTATCCCCTGGAACCTTTCACCAGACTGAGAAGGAAATTCAAGGAATAAAGAGTTTCTGAAAGAAGGAAAAATTTGAGGTTTGCCTTAAGATGCTGCTGGATAAAGGACAAATGATGAAAGTCTGAACAAGGTAGTTCAAAATACATACATTCTACTCTGGAGAGATAAATGATTTATACTCATTGTAACAAAGCTTTTGGAAGTCTCAGGTTCCATCACTGCTTTCTTTTTGGAAAAAGAGATTTTTATTCTTAATAAAACTTTTTTTATTATGCCATATGTGTCCATAAGAAAGTTTAGGCATGCATGCATGTTGTGTGAAAGAAATAAGCTCTATAAAATCCACAGTGCAATGGGGAGAGAGTACGGGGTAATTTAATCCTGTATAGCATCTCAGTGGGAAACAGGAAAAGGACTAAGGAAAAAAAAATATAAAAAAAGTGAAAACCAAAAATTTGGATCTGTTTCTATGCAGTGAGGTAATGACACTGTTTGGATCTCTTTGTTTCCTTTTATTTTCATGAGAAAGTCTTTTTTTGTATTGTCCCATCTCTTCTTCCTTTCCTTTAATCCCTTATGCAGTATACAGATAAGGTTCAGGATTATTTTGGGACATTTTTCAGTTTCTTTCTGCCATTCTTCAAAACCTCCATATCAGAAGGAGCTGGAAGAAGATAAAGGATAGCAGAATGAGAAAAAAAACATGAAAAAATTAACATGAGCTGAGTCTATAGACTGTGTGACAAGAAAGGATTAAAATAAAAGAAAACAAAAAAGGAGTCAATAAGAATAAACAAAAAGCCTGATATTCTAACAGGTCAGCATTTCAAAAAGCAAAAACTCTCTTTGGAAACTCCCAGTTTTGGGAAAAGACCATTTTAGCAGAGGAAAAAAAAACAAGTAAGAATATTTCAGCCAGCTCTCTTCCACAAAATTCACTTTCAAGACAAGCAGAAGCATGAGTAACTTCCAAATAATGTCCAGGAAATCAGAGGTTTGAGGGTAAAATAAACGACTAAGACAAAATCTCAACCTATGTTTTCTCTGTTTGCTACATAATGGTTTAGGATTGTAACAGAAATTTTAGCATTGCACAACAGTCCATGAGGGGGGTTCTACAACCTGTCCCTCTCCATCTTTGCCTTCTATTGCTTTATGGGGAACATGACCAAAAAAGTATTTTGGCTAGGGCTTTTCCAGGAGCTGAATCCCTAACAACAGTGTTCATGTAAAACCAGTTTCTGTCATACAACATGTAACATAAGATTCAGTATCAGTAAGATGCTTTCAGCCTTTCTGATATATCATTGCTGTAAGTCGCCCCACATGTATTTACACTCAGTGATGCCCTTTATATCTTCCCAGTCCGTGCCAGTATGGAATGTATGAAGTCAGTAAGTCAGTAAACCAAATAGGTATGTACGGCAAAAACCTACTCATAATCTCCTTGAAGGTAAAGACCTGAAATAAAATTTTACAGCTTGAGCAAACTTAGTCTTGCTCAACAGATAGTATGGTCTAATGTGAACAGGTGAAAGATGTTAAGGATGACAACTATGGCTACTCCAAAATTTAGAAAAGGATAAATGACAAGAATATAATAATTTGAACACCTGCATATCTTGAGGTGGTTTGAAATCCAAACCTCGATACGTATTTTGCAAGCTTTTCTTCCCAGCCTGAATTATGAACCCAAATCTGAATGCTCTTGCAGTTTAATGATTAGATTCAAGATTGCAATTTCGTACTTAATATATAGCACTGGGAATGAAATGACACTATGAAACGTTGTGGGCCACTTTCCCTTAGTACAGGTATTTCATTAACTTCAAAGTTCAAGTAGTTTTAAATTCTATAATACTTCTTAGAAACTTTTACAAAGGTTATTTCAAGCTGGGGAAAAGAGGCTCTTGAACTAGTGTAAAGCGAACAAATGAATCCAAATGAGGATCTGTACTGAAGATATCGTACACTGTTATTCACAAAGTGTTTTACAATGTGGAAAGTCCGTTATGCATGTGAACCTATAAGTTGCCATGCAGAAGAACACAGCAATAATAAAAATAGGAAAAACACAGGTCATTGAAATTATTTAATTACAACTTATAAAAATAAATCCAATCAGTTAGTGGGGACTTCTGCCCATACAAGGTTTACTGGGGAGCTGGATCTAAGTCTTTGCCCTGGTTTGACTTTAACTGCAATGAGACACTCTATATACCCAAGTCCTTTGAGTTGTCCAGTCCATCATTGCTATAGCAGTTTACCCACTGTCATAAAAATTTCCCATTTCCTTGAGAGATGAAATTTTGAGATTTGTATTTATGTTCTATGATTATGAGTTCAATTTAGTGTGGGGGATTGGTTGGAGAAGAGGGAGGAATAGGAAGGATTAAACAGCTTTTCTGGCAAAATGAACTGGACAGGTATGAACTGGAGATATGAAGAAGAGGTCAGGGGGTGAACTTCATCTAAATGAGTACGCCTGAGCTATTTAATTCCTCCTGAGAGTCATAAGATCTTGTATGGCTTGAGATCAATTTTTAAAAAGAGATAAATCAGCTCTGATTATCAACAAGAAAGATTTAACTGCTGCACACATCAAGCATAATAATTTTTAAAAACTGCAAACATTAACAACTTTGAAATACCGAACATCTTCCACATATTAAATCCTGCATCAGTCCTCCCAGTTTTTAGTACGCTGGGAGGTACTTTTTCTCCATCAGGGACACAACCCAGATGAAACAAGCCCTGTCTTTCCTGCTAAGTGTGTTGGTAATCCTTCCGTTCAAAGGTTAAAGAAAAAAAGTGTGGTCTTTACCGGAAAACATAGACATACTAAAGAAAATGGCCACCCATGTTGAATAGTGCCTCATGATTCATAATTTCCACTGAAAATTTGAGTAAAAGAAATATCCTCTTTTCTCAAGATGGTGAAAACATACATTTTATTTGGTGAGAAAAGAGGCCTCTATATGTTTTAAGAAAACTCCTGTCACTAAGCGCAGTTATTATTTCAAACACAAGTCTCCAAGTGACCCCAAATGCCTTCAGCACACAGACCACATCTCTCCTTCTGTAATTACAACTAGCCGAAGCATCTTTCAGAGACCTGAACTGCATTCCGGTAATGGTGACCCATTTCCCTTTCCATGAAAAAAAAGTGTTCAGTTAGTAGACACCAATAAAAACAACAGCTGTGAAGAAAAACATGCAGAGAAACGTTGCTACAGCTAAGCTAGTGGAATAAAACGTATGCAGTGGATTTTTTTAATGTAGACATTCAGTCAGATCGCTTTGATGGCTAACCAGAGCATC